GCATCTTCTTCTTCTGAACTGCTGCCTGGAACTCGTATATTCTCCTCTATTGCACCATATTCCAGCATGAGTGCTAAAATTGCAGCAGTAGCATGAAGACTGCATTCTATAGGTACTGCAACTCCCCGTGTGCAATCTACCCGTTTTTGCTACGGTCTCGGATGATGGGTTCGAGAGAAAAACTGAAACGCGAAGCGAATAAAGTAACCTCTCCAGCAATCGCGTCTACTTTTTTTCAATTAATCCCTGGGACTCGCATTTTCTTTTGTATCCCAAGGTCTTCTTTTGCCAATATCATGGATTGCATAGTGTAAATCTGCGGCTTTGTAGCAGCCATCTTCAACGTAATTTTTGTTACTACAGAGGTTCAGGTACGCATATCTGTTAGTAAAAAACCGACAACCTGGTTCAAACAAATTAATGCAGCTGTTTATCAGCATGCAATGCAAAAAGAAGGGAGAAAAAGTCAAAATTCATGTCAGCATGCGCTACTACTCGAATACGCTTTAGGAGCTGTGGAAAAATTTGACCTCAGCTTAAGCAAAACTCCCTGTAGATGGGGATGTTACGATGACCACAGATCTGGCAGTACATACCAACTGTCCCTAGTTCAGACTTTCCAGCATAATATCATTTCTCATTCTCAAGATATACTCGTTTTCCACAAGTTCAGCACGTACCTCGTAAAAGTCTCTAACAAAAAAGGAGGATACACCATCGGCTTTGGTAAACCCCTGTGGAAATAATTTGAGCCATGTGTTATCGCCATAGAGCTCCAAACGTTTGCGTCTGTCGGAAAGGCGTTGAACCCACGAATCCTGCGTCACAACTGACGATTTAGTGTTCTCGATGGCGTCAAGGAATGCTGACAGGCGGCCCGTAGCCATAGTCTAGGTTGAAAATGAGTGACTCTGACGAGCATAAGAGAAATAACACACCTTCAGTCGTGGTCCAGTGACAGTAGGATATGACAGTGTTGTTGTGGAACACTCCACAATCCCCAGCTGCATAATCTTTTTCAGCATTGGCCAATTCTCAGAGTACTTAGGCGATGAGATCATGTCCGAACGAAATCCATCGATCACCATCAAAATGATGTTATTCGTAGCTGTTGTCGTACTGTTGGTACTTTCAGCTATAAACGTGAACGGTTTAGAAGTAGACTCATGCAAATACCTGGCTGGTTGGGAAGCTGGACAGAGTTTGAGAACAACCCTGTGATGCATATATAGAGGGCGAAAATGAAAGCTGCGAAACGCAAGCATGCGGAGAAACCGAGAAAAAGCATTGCTTCTTTGAAGGGTGTCCAAAGTGAACTGGCCTAAAAATAAGAATTTCATCGTTAGCATGTAAAAATTATTAGCTTAAGTGAAATGGTCACTAATGCAAAATTCTCCCGCAAGTATTCATTCAGCAAAGCTTTTAAAAATAGGTCTGCGGCAACAATGGAGTTCTCGGTTTTACCTAAATCCGACTCCTGTAAGTCGATACATGAGTAGGAACACTTTTAATATGTCCTGTGCGTCTGATTCAGTTGGTAAAACTGTGTGAAATTTCTTTAACAATACTGACCGGGACAGTGAACTACGACGAAAAAAATACAGATTTGGTGCAAATTCTCCTGAAACCACGAGTTTTCTGCCTGCAATATCTGCGATCTCTCAAACTCTGAAGAAAGTCCAATGGGCAAACATGTTGGGTTTTTCCAGAGTTGTATTTTTAAAGAGGCAACTGAATGCAGATATATTTAACTACATTTAATCAGGTTTTCTGCTAATCCGGTTAAGTTGTCTTTACTAACAGAAGCACATAGTATGTATGTTAAAAAATTGACTCATTAACGCCCCTCCCATATTTTCTCAAACTTACAGGATGTTTTACATAGTAAACAGGAACATCAATCCAACAACGGTAATCATCCTTGGAAGCAAATGAAGCGTGTATCTAACTTTTAGTTCAGACCAGTAATGTGCGTGGGCCAT